AGAGAGAGAGAGAGAGAGAGAGGCCAGCAGGTAAGTCTCCAACCCTGCGACTGCCCTACTGCTACTTCCATCGATAGGTGAGCAAAATCGAATGAATCTTCCCCTAGAACATCGAAATATACACTACTACACACGCACGTACGTGTGTTGTGTGCGTGTGTTTGTGTCGGAGAGAGAGAGAGAGAGAGAGAGAGAGAGAGAGAGAGAGAGAGAGAGAGAGAGAGAGACCGGCCAACAGGTAAGTCTCCAACCCCGCTACTGTGGAGGTGGGCGGAAGGGAGGCACGTGGAGGGGAGTTGGGCAAAGGGGACGTACGCGGAAGGGGGAGAAGGGAGGTGGAGGGGGGGAAGAGGGACGAGGGAGGAGGGAGGAGTGGGAGGAGTGGGAGGAGTGGGAGGAGAACGGGTGAGCAAGAAGAAGAAGAAGAAGAAGAAGAAGAAGAGGGGGAGGCGGACGGGTAAGTTTCCAACCCGGCGACTGTGGAGGTGGGCGGAAGGGAGGCGCGTGGAGGGGAGTTGGGCAAAGGGGACGTATGCGGAAGGCCGGGAAGGGGGAGAAGGGAGGTGGAGGGGGGGAAGAGGGACGAGGGAGGAGGGAGGAGTGGGAGGAGAACGGGATGAGCAACAAGAAGAAGAAGAAGAGGGGGAGGCAGACGAGAAAGCCGAAGAGGAGGGGGAGGAGGAGAAAGCAGTCGAGGGGCTCTGTTTTTTTTTTTTTTTTCCTGTCCCGTTTTCTTCTTCGTTTTGCGTCTCACTTTTTTTTTGACTTTTTTTTCGAATTCTTACGTCGTTTCCTTCTTCGTTTTGTCTTTGGTTCTCCTTTTCTTTTTGAGTCCGTTACAGTTAATCGATCAATCATCAATCATCAATCAATCAATGAATCAATCTCGACCAAGGTCGATCTTTATTGATTGATTGATTGATTGATTGATTGATTGATTGATTGATTGATGGAGAAGGAGACTAGACCCAGAGGAGGAGGAGGAGAAGTATTGGGGACGGTCTGGCGTGGGTTGGGGAGGGTGGGGCGAGGGTAAAGGAGGTTCGGGACAGGGGACAAGGGTGGTCGGGGAAGAGGCACAGGGCAATGGAGGCGCGCTGAGGAGAGGCACGCGGAGGGAGGGAAGCGGACGGAGGAGGTGGGAGGAGGAAGGAGGGAGGAGGAAGGAGGGAGGAATGGGAGGGGGGGATGAGGGGACACGCGAGTTGAAGGGAGGGAGGAAGAGGGAGAAGGTCGTTGGAGGAAGAGGAACGGTTTTTTTTTCTTTGTGTCTTTTTTCTTTTGCTTTCTATTTCACTTTCGTTTTCTATTTGTCCATTGCCGTTATTCAACCAATCAATTAATCAATCAATCAATTTATTAATGAAGATTGACTAATGTCGATCCAATTGCACCTACGACAAGTTGGCACCTGCCGGGCCATTTTGCAAAGTTGGGCAGCTTCCGGTAGGGGTACATTGCAAAGATGGTATCCAACTGATGGCTGCGGTGTTTTTGTCATCGTCCAGGGTCCACTTGTAAACTTTGAAGGTCGTTCAAGGTCATTCAACGATGAAGCCATTCAAGTCAGTTCGATATGATATCTCAAGGCCATTGCCCTTTTTGACAAAAAGAACAAAAAAATAAAATAAAATGGTTTGCTGTACCCAAATAGTGGCCTTAGTAGCCTCCAATCTTTTAATTATTTCTGGCTGGCCTTGTCGGCAAATTGGCGAGTAGAATTTCGTTCATCAGAACTTCATCCTTAAAAAAAGAAGAAAAAAAAAATCACTCATCCTCAGCTCCCGAATTCTTCCAATGATCTTTCAGCTCCCAAATTCACACGTTGGCCCAAGCAAGGTTTTGACAGATATGCAAAAAAAAATAAAAAAATAAAATAAAAAATCTTAGAGCGTATCCATTTTTGTCTTGCAGTTTTAACCTTCTTGACATGCATGAACCTTGTGTGGTTAGGACAGTTGTGCATGCTAAAAGATGGCCAATTAAAAAAAAAAAGAAAAAAAGAAAAAAAAAAGAAAAAAAGAAAAAAAAAAGATGACCAATGGCGATCACCCCAGCTCATCACGTGGCTGCATCTGGCTCCAGTAACAAATTTCATGCTGGCTATGTGAACAGGAGATGATGGAAGAACAAGTGTATTGACAGCTGAGGGCGAGTTCAGTAGGATTGATGCACAATCGCAGGTATACTTTTTTTGAGTAGTTGTAACTGTTACCTTCAGGCTATGTGTTTTCTGCTTCTGCCTGCACTTGTTTCCCTCTTGTCACATGCATTGGTTACCCTCTGCTCTTCATTTTGATATGCATTGTCTTCTGCTTCGCCGTTTTTGTACCTACCGGCCTCTTTTCAGTGCTGGTAACTTATCATATTCTCTCTCTCTCTCTCTCTCTCTCTCTCTCTCTCTCTCTCTCTCTCTCTCTCTCTCTCTCTCTCTCTCCCTCTCTCTCTCTCAAAAACCTGCAGTGTCTTGTGTCTGGACCTCTAGGCCATGTCCGGTGGGGTGAAAGGACACTTAAAAATCACCCCGTTATTTTCGAGGGGCGGCTAGGACCCGACAAACGTCCTGGGCCGCCCCATGTTTTTTTTTTTTTTTTGCCCCAGGGGCCTCCATCCAGACATGGGGACCGGACACCGGACACCAGACACCGGACACCGGACTGTCTGGAACCCGGTCCGGACGTCCGGGCGGCTACCATGGTCTACGCACATGTTAATCTGCCTGTCTGTCAGCTTATCGACGGCGCGGGCTGTCTGCCTGTCCCTTGTACGATGGATTGCTTATGCAATGGTAAAGGTGGAAAAGCCAAGCACGAAACCCAGTGCATGATATTTTTCTGCCTGCCTGTCTGCGGTTGTGTGCCTGCCTACCTCTGTGCCTGCCTGTCTGTCATGTCTGCCTGCATGCCTATCCTTGTCTGCCTGCCTGCCCCCTTCATGTCTGTCGGCCTGTCAGCCTGTCCTTCTTTTCGCAAGTCCACCTGCTTGTCAGTCTGTCAGCCCACCTCCCTATCTATCTGTCCAATGTGATCTGCCGGTCTCTGCATGTTTGCCCGTCCTCCTCGCTGACAAGTGCTTTCATACCGCCTGCGTCTCTGCCCGTCGGATATTTGTCTGTACGTATCACTGACCATCTGTCCATCTGTCTGTCCATTTATCCATCTGTCTGTCCATCTATCCATTTATCAGTCCATCTCTTCCGTTCATCCATCTGTCTGTCTGGCCGATACACCAGTGTGATCAGACACTCACATAAAGGGAAACCTATCTCTCTCTGCCTGTCTGCGCACATGCACTGTGTCTATCTGTCTCCGTCTGCTTGTCTCCCCATGTGGCTGTCTGTATGCCTGTCTGCATGTCAGTCTTCTTGGATCCGATGTTCACGTCAGAACCGGTAATGAAACAATGTGATCGTCGGTTCACGTCGGAAAATATATATTTCTGTCTGCAGAGAGAAATTATTTGAATGGTTAGCTGACTATGGGGTTAGCATTGACAAATGCATGGCTTGATACCTCACAAGCAACACTTTTGAGACTTTGAGTGCTTAACCCCATAGTCAGTTGGGTGTTTAACGGTACTTTAACCCCATTAGCTGTTTGAGTCAACTGGCCAGTCCGGCTGTGGGCTGTCAGGATAGGGGGCTCTGGACCAAGTGGAAAATGTCTCCCGGGCGGAATTCTATTGCAAGTCCTTCTCTTTAGAGATGTAGAGAACAGAAAGTCAGGGCATACTCACACTTGCACTCCCGTACATGTATCTGACTGTAATTACGGCCGGACCTGGATGAATCGGACTGCAATTGCGTCCAGAAATAAGTAAAAATGTCCTAGTGTGAGTATGCCATCGGTTGGAGTATGTGGGCCTGTTCGGGTATCAGTAGCAGGCTCAGGCCCAAGTGGGGAATATGTTTCCCTGACGGAAATCTATTGCAGAGAGACAGCTTGCCAGTCTGGGTGCTGGCTGGCCACGATAGTGAGCTTGAATTCGAGTGGGAAATGTCGAGATAGTCGGTTGAAGGCGGGGCCCAGTCTGGATGCGGTCTGTCATTATCGCAGGCTCGGACCCAAAGGAGAAATGTTTCCCTGCTGAGATGTTGTTGTGTGACTGTCTCCTTCCTTTAAGGATGTAGCGAGAGATGTAGAGATACTCAAATGAAGTTGGCTGGCCAGTATTTATGTGGGCTGTCACGATACCAGGTGTGGGCTCGAGTGGGAAGTGTTTCCCTGGTAGGACGCTATTGCGGGGCCCTCGCTTTTAGAGATATTGAGATGTGGGGGTGCTCTCCAAGGATTGTGTTCGTGCTGTTTTTAAACCGGCAATCGGAACAAGAACCCTATCCATCTGACTCCCTCAGGGTCTGTCTGCTGCTCCACTTTGAAGATCCTGTTTCTTCCCTGTCTTCCCACATAGGTATGCCTGTTTCTTTTTTTCCACTTTTTTTTCCAACTGACGTTATTTCTCTCCTTCTCTTAGGCAGCTTCATCTTAGGCTTGCTGCAATTCTCATGTGATTGTTGCCCTGGTTTACGGTTTCTATGTGAACAGTTGAGGGGTTGCTGCACACCGGGTGACCGTGGACGCTTCATTTTTCCTAACTAACTGCGCACTGTGTGACCTGAATACACCATGCTGCTGCATTGAATGTCATGGCCTCTCAACGCTCCACATTATATTAGAACTTGCCACAAGGACAGAGGAAGTGTCTTCATTGATTGATGCAAATTTAAAAGAATCGCCGTGGTGGTCCCGAAACAACGCGCTCAAAGGGATGCATCGCTGGAATAGAGTAGGGATCACACGAGTACTCTGGGTGAAATGTGTGTGGGGGGAAGATACTGCGAATCTTGGTGGCGAGAGACGGAGGACCAGGAGAGCTAGGAAGGGAAGCTGAGAACATGGCGGAAGCAAAAGATATACAGGAGTTTGGAATCGAATGGCCGGGATTTTTGCGGCAAAAAACAGGGCTCCTCTGTCCAACAATGTTCGATGTCAATGGCCGAAACAACTGGCTAAATTTGGAAACATAGTAATGTACTATTCTTAGTATTCTAAGTCTTCTTATATATATGTTTATAAGTTGTAACTGTAATCCAAAGTTTTTTTTTTTTTTTTTTTTTTTTGCTGAATGAGGACGCCGCCCGGGTAAACCGGGTGTGCCAAAAAAACGCCCAGAATTTTTTATTTTTTTTTTTGAAACCGGGGTCGTTCTGCGCTC